CCTCTTGTGCGGCGCGTCGTGTTTCTTCCGAAGTGGCTGGTTTCTTGTCCATATTGTAACTACTATACGAGCATGACAGCTCGACACGTGTTGGAGCGACCACGGACATCTTAAGATCTAGTCTCCCCTCTCGAGCATTTTGAACCTAGATCATACACTGCTGCATGATGAACCACAGCGACGCTGCTGATCACATATAGCTACCGTCGTCAACGGTTAGCGACCGTCTCGCCAGCATACATGACATTTGCCTTGCAGTGCCCGCCTAGGATGTGATGAGATCTGGTTCGGCAAGGTACGTACTCGCGCGTTGCATTCAAATCCCGAATCCACCAAGCTTTTTATCTTCCGTGGACTCTCCACATCATGCATCTCATCTTGATCTCCCGATATGGTAGAGAAGCAGAAAATCTTCCGTCCAAATTCAGGACAATTATCTGCCATCATGATGTGAGGACTTGGTTGATGCACAAGTCGGTACTGTATCAGACGAGTCCTTCGTGGAGAAGGATGAGTCTCTCTACATACAGCCTCGAAAACACTCCATAATGTAGCATCTCCAATACATCACGAGAGCATTGTTAGCACGGAAAGTCGATGTTTTGCTCTGTACGACCCCCCATTGCCCTCACCAAACTCGTCTCGATCCCAGGTATCATGCAGCCAAGACCAGAAGGGATACTCCTCCTGCCGCTGAAACACCAAGACAGCACACATGTTTCACCTGGCATAACAACGTAGCATGAGGTACGCACAAGTAACAAGGACGGGCGGCCTTCTGAGACGCGAAACTACCAACTTCATGAACGTCTCGTAAACTCATGAATCGACCTCGATTTACCGATTAGTGATCTCCCAAATAACCATTTTTTTCAGGACACTGGCGTGCCCCTGAGCTTGGTTTGGGCGGCCAGCTTGTCATTCCGGCTGGAGACATGATGCGAGTCTCGAGCAGGTCCTCCCCTTGACTTGCTAAATAGATCAACAAGATACGCGAGTAACCTAATGATACCGAACACGTCATGTTGGTGTAAGCTGGCGCCGACAAGCTTCGTGGCCAAAGAGCCCTGGCTTCCTCTCCACATCTCGCTTGATGAAACCACCTACAGCACGTGATCGTGGAAATAAGGGAGTTCATCGTTTGTACGAATGGTCCTCCGCTGACTTCATCCAATCTCATCGGTTCCCCTTCCTGGTAGACCCCGCGGCTTTGAGGTCTAAATGTCGGACGGTGTTCACCTTGCTTCAGCTGTTCACATTGCTGACGACGGCAACGTGCAAATACTACTGACACGTCGTATTAATAAGAACGATCGTGTGTCTCAAGCTGACGATAAGTTCTACGTGACCCAACAGCGCCTGGTGGGGACCTGAAATGACGTCGCTATAGCAAGTTATTCATGAACAACAATTTGCTGCAGCAGCACCAGTTGCCATACCACAAGACTTGAGCTCTTGGTGCACTCCTGATGAGTCTCATGAGCCACATCAAGCATGAGCGTCCAGATGTGCTGGGCAAGTTTTCGGAGCAAAGCTTCGGACGCCGCCTACTCCATATTGCAAGCACAACAAAAGTGAGTACCTTAGAATGCGTGAACAGCCCAAACGACTTTATGTACACTCATAAAGCTGACAAACTGGTATCACACGTTTGTTGAGCATCCTGAGAGCACGAAGTACTGACACACGCTTCGTGACGAAGCAAGCAAACGACCCTGCTTCCTCTCACGCACTGACTCCATCGTACCTTCCCCAGTCAAGATGTCTCGTCTTGATAACTTTACTACGGGTCTCAAACTCGAGATCTTCAATTGCTGCAAGGATATGGGTGAGGAATCAAAGACTGCCATTGCCTCAAAGCCGCTTCCGCCTACATCATCGCTGCAGGGAGGACACCCACAACCGACAATGGCTCGAAAACAGTATTTCCGTTTGTTTGACCTCCCTCTCGAGATCCAACGTCTAATCTTCGATTGTCACTATGAGCCATGGTCGCTCACGATCATTGACACCTATTGGCGTCTCCAGGAATCGGATTACTTTGACATGGATCGATATGCAAGCGACACCGAGTATAGTCCTGTCTTACTGCAGGGCGTACCCCCGCCATTCCTATCAATGACATGCAAAGCGATTTACAATGAGACACAGAGCAGTCTCATGCGGTCGTTCCTTGGTCAGACAACTCTGTTCATCAAACACTGCCACCTGCGACTACCAGAATTGCCAGACCGGCTGAGCTTCGTCTACCCAGAGACCACATATCTAATCCTCTACGAACGAGCATTTATTGATCTCTTCACTCTAAGAGATTTCCCAACTCTGGAGGACCTCATCGTAAAATGTTGTCCCGACACGCTGGAGTGGGACGGTGAAGAGCACCTTGAGGATGAAGATTTTCAAGCATGGGCGAGACAAGAACAGATTGCGCTAGAACGGAGGTCAAGGAAGCCTTTGCTACACTCAAAGGTTACGACCATACTTGATCCAGGATTTGAGCAGATCGATGGGGGCGAATATGTACAGTGCTACCTGGCCGAAGAGCAAGAGGATATCGGTGTTGATCGAGAGAAATGTGATGAAGAAACGGAGGCAGATAATGAAGAAGACGACGTCGAAAGCCTCGACGATCAAACTTAGGGATATCGACACATCCCCAACTCAAGACTGAACCCACGACACAAACACAGACGTTTCCAGAGCTGTTTCGACCCCCTTAATACTCGCCCATCAGCGATGGCGTCCTCCCCAACTTCCGCTCCGGCAGATCTTCCCACCACATTCCTTAGGAAGGCCGTTCCGCTCCGCACACTTCCCAAATGTCTCGTTCCCAAAGCACGTATGCGTATCATCAAAGTCCCATTTCCCTTCCCTTTCACTTAACATCGGCTCCAACTCCTCGCTGCCAATACGTCTCTCAACGCACTCCGGAATTGTCTCCTCCCAACGACAGAGAAGCACATGATCTCTATCTACTTCCCCCTCATCCACAGTCACTGGCAATACCTCCCCTTCTTCACCGGTGTACACCCGAACTACACCATTTCCATTCCGCTTGCCATCCTGGTGCATCCCACGGTCCAAGCACGCCGCGATCTGCGGATCTGTGCCAAAGATACAATTCAGAAAGCTGATATCGTCGCCTTTGTGGAAGGGCTTGTATTTGAGCTGCAGGTGAGCTTCAACACCAGCGTTGATGTCCTCTTTGACTATCGGTGCCAGCTCCGAGATGTCGATATTTTCGCTTTCTGGCGCTGCGGGCTGATTGGAGATAATAGGAGGAAGTGTTGTCAAATACAAGCACCTTGGCCAGTCACGGGAGGTCGAGTTGCAGTCGTCTGTTTCTGGTAGTTTGTGTGGCATTACAGGCGGGAATTCTCCGGGTCGTTCTACACGTGGTTCCTCGGTGCTTGGCGTTGCTTCTGACGACGACATTGCATCGAGATTGATCGGGCTGGCTAGGACAGTGGTTGCGCCGATGATGGCGTGGGTGAAGATGGTGTATTTCATGGTCAATGAGAGATTAAGACTAAAACTTTAAGATTGGCTGTGTTGCGATACTGCGAACTGCAGGGGAAGAAGAGAGCAGGCGAGAGAGGATGCAACGAGCTAGGTTTTTATCTGGCGATCTGGCTCCTGAAACGTGCGCATGTGAGCCTTGTGGTTTTGTTAGCTTGCTGACGGACAGTTGACGGCGCGATAACGCGTAACCAAACACATACAAGCATGGCACTGATGAGTAGGCGACGAACCAAAAACATTCGACGAAAAAGATTTATTTGCTCAGCCTGGCCGTTGCGCAGATGGATGATCAAACATAAAGACCATGAGCATCTGAATCTGGTACCTGTGGCGGTGTCGATCACCGACGTCCTCCAAGCTACTAGTCCATCATCTAACATTACTTTCGCGGCCTTAACCATTCGCGCCACAATTTGCATTCAAGCATCTAGCTAGCACATGCCATCTCCTCGATATCCATCCACCATCCACCATCCAGCAATCCTCTCTCATCCCAGGCACAGCTCACCTCACCAACCTGGCGTCCTCCGCGTCGTAAGTATCTTCAGATCCCTACGCTCCTCATCGAGTCCAGGACGACCCATAATGAACTGGTAGATCTTCCGATGGTGGGCCGGGTTCGTATTTCCAGCCGTGGTGTTTGAAGCACGCTTCTATAGTGTCGAAGTTGTCTAGGCAGTCGGACCATCCGACGGCTCGCTGGACCGGAAGAGGTGTTGTGGCAGTCGACATTGTGGTATGAGTTTCGGCAATGGCTGATGTTGGTAGTGAGGTGTGGTCATGTGTGGTTGAGGTTGACGTTGAGGTGACCGGCCTTGCAAGGGTTGCGCTAGCGCTGAGGAGGGTGTAGGTGAGGAGTGAGAGCTTCATGACGAACTCGAGGAAGGCTGACTGTGTAAACTGGTGGTGTCAATGGTACTGTAGCGGTTGGTGGAATAGAGGACTTATTTGTTTGGCGTGCTCGAGGTACTTGTATGGGAAGTAAAAAGAATATGCTCAGCCGTACCTTGTGTATGCCCTTCTTAGGCCCCGCGGTGTCAGACACGGCTTCCAGATGTGTACACACTGGCACATGCTCCTGCGTTTACCTTCTCACGCGAATATCTGTGGTCTGGACAAGCAAGTATGAATCCGGGAAGTGCCATAGTAGAAAAGCCCTGAGCGACAGTGAGAGCTATACATTCCCGTGCGTACCATTGACCGACTGGGACTGTCAGGCGTGACGCTGAACAAAGTTGTGCCAGACCTTGCTATTTTCACCACGGGTTGTTCAAAGCTGTGGGCGGATTTTGATCACGAAGGGAGAAACCAATACTCACTGTCCGGTGAGATCACGCATCGAATACACGAGGTCCGATGCTGCTTGCAAGGGTAGATGAACCGTATTTGTGCAGAAGAGGTTGTTTTGTGGAATATATGCAATACAACCACAAAAGTGGGGACAAATTGGCGTACCATGGACGTCGACAATGAAGTCGGCGCAAATAGTTTAAGGGTAGAATTCGAGGTGAATACGACTGGAACCGATGCCGTGTATCCTCTAACATACCCCCAGCTTCCCATGCTCGAGGACCGAGTTCGAGTCTCGGTTTGCGCAAAACCATCTCTTCTTTTGCTTTTTTGGAGGGGGATGGTGGCGACGACGGCGGGGTAGTCGCCAAGGCTGAGTGCCGAGGTCTAGGAAGTGGATAGTATGGTTCAGGGTACTTTGAGCAACAACAGAGGGCGAGAGTCGTTCACTTCTTGGCGGCTTTCTCAGCTGGGTATGGCAAGCTGTCGTTTTTGGAAACAACACTTTCTGAACCCCATGGAGGACACCAGTGCCACGAAACTCCTTGCTTGTTGACAGAAGTCTGCTCATTGCTTGAGGTAGATTTCGAATTTCTTGCTGCCGAAATCTGAAAGGACGAATTTTGAGCCTCGGAAAGATCGCTAGCGGCTAGTTGCCAACGAGCTACTCCTAGCGACAGCGATCTCAGGATAGTACATCATCGACGGTCACAAGCTGGACTTGAGAGCGTGCCGTCGCTGTGCTGATCGACTCGCGGCGGTACAGTGCTGGTCATATCTTCGAGGCAGCTTGCGGACAGCTCTCGGAACCTCAAACAGCCAATTTTGAGCTGCCAGGGGCACGCCAGTACCGTGAGATCCGTTCCGTATCGAGGTGAAGGCAGCGCTATTTGGAGCAAGCTTCTTGGATTTTTGTCGAGCATCGTGAGGACTCGCCTTGAGCGATCGGGAGGACACCAGTGAGCAGTACTGAGGCACCTCAGGCTTGAAGCGCTTGTGGCTCTTTGTGATCTCGCGGCGAAGATAGATTCGGTGGTCGAGTGAGACCATACTGGTCCTATTCAGCAGCACGCAATCGTTGTCACAGCTTTGTTGCGAACAAATTTTTGTGATTTTGGAGTTGCGCTTTTTGGTCTCCTGGAGCACGCCAGGAGAATTCTGGCAAATTTGGAAAGAGCACTCTGTAGGTCGCGATTCCCGTTTCGGGGGTACGCCAGCAACACTCAGATAGTCGCTTCCACGACTCAGTTCTACATCGCGCACTGTAGTGTCACATTTTGTTATCCGGGGGTACTCCAGTTGAATATGGCATATCTCCTCACACTCGCTCTTTTGGCACCAGCATCTGCCAAGCTGTATCAACCTACTGAAATACCGCTACAAGGACTGTCCAACTCCATCCGCGGGCCACATATCACTGCTAACTTCCCTGATCCTGGCCTGTTCTACCAGGACGGGACTACCTACGCCTTCGCAACGAATAACAGAAAGCCCCGCCGTGCCCACATCAATGTTCAAGTGGCCACATCCATTGATAACACTACCTGGGCCATCGAACACGGCCTCGACGCCCTACCGAAGACAGCGACATGGCAAACAGGAGGAGCAGTATGGGCTCCGGACGTCAAACAGCTCCCCTCAGGCCAATACATCCTCTACTACACAGACAGCCTCGTACATCAACCACAAACCCACTGCATTGGTGCCGCAGTATCCAGCCACATCACGGGCCCCTACGAACCTCTCCACAGACCGCTAATCTGCCCTCACGGCGGCGCGATCGATCCAGCCGGCTTCTACGACTCCTCAACGAACCGCCGGTACATCATCTACAAGATCGACGGCAACAGTCTTGGCCACGGTGGCTCTTGCAACAACGACGTTATGCCACTCATATCCACGCCCCTAATGCTTCAAGAAGTCGACAACGAGGATGGTCTCTCGTTCATCGGCGAACCAGTCAAGCTACTTGATCGGGACGCCATTGATGGTCCATTAATAGAAGCGCCAGCAATGCACAGAACCTCCGATGGTGTTTACTTCTTGTTCTACTCGGCGAATTGCTACACTGGACCGTTATATCACACCAGCTACGCCACTGCAACAGATATAACAGGTCCCTATACGAAGGCGGGGCGGCCACTGTTCATTACGGGCGATTACGATGGACTCACCGGGCCGGGCGGAATGGACATCCTGGAGGACGCCCGTGGCGGCGCGTATATAGCATTCCACGGGATAATGAACATTCACAACGACCCGTCTCGGTTATTGACGGATGTTCGCGGGTTCGATCGGGGCATGTATACTGGAAGAATTCGGTTCGATGGGAGAACAGCGACCACCGGGGTTGGGTTTTCAGCACTGGAGCCCTCCCGGGAGCTCTAGGAGGGCAAAACGACGGATGTATCTGTGGCTTCTAGCGGAGGCGTGAGGTCGGAGCTTTGGATGTCACTTTGGAGTCTTTTTGGCATCGTTACTATTCTTATGGTTTTGTGAGCTGAAAGTGAGGCTGATATCGTTACCTCACTTGGTCTTCACTACCAGTATCACTTTTGAATGAGATTGGTTTTGAACAGTTCCAATCTTGTTCACTTAGCTTCAGGTGGCTCCTTGAGGCTGTGCGACGAACGAGTCATGGTTCCAACTCCAGGAGCACGCCAGTACCGGAATGGCTCAATTGACGTGTTCGAGAAGCAGTACCCTCGCCTTCGACCACTCGAGCCGGTTTTCGATCTTCGGGAGGGCGCCAGTGTTAGAAGTCGACAAGCGTGAGGCAAAACTCGGGAGCAATTCTTGGACAGGAGCCGACACTCCAAGGGATGAATGAGCCGAGTAAGCAGAGTTGGGTTTTAACGTTCTGAAGCACGCCTGTGCCGAGAGACACCAACATTCAATAAAGATAAAGCCGTCAAGCATCGATGAGCAGAGCGCTAGCCGCGGAGTTTATTTAACCACGAACCGAATAACATTGGTTCAACATTGACCGGAGCACGCCGGCGCTGCCACCACGACCATGAGTAGACAGCTCAAAGGTAGATTGGGAAACCATCACGTTCACGGGCGGCTTTGGTCAAGCTGTATTATGACACCCAGCTGTACACCAGGGGCACGCCAGAGCCGTTCGGAGATCCAGGCCCGTCAGCAAAGCAGTTCGAGGACTTACGGGCACAGTCCGATCTTCTACCGGCGCGACTGCTCCTCCCGCAGAGGAAGAACTGTGTCTCATTTTCGGGAGCACGCCAGCTGTGAGAGTAGCTAACGAGGATCGGGAGACCACGCAAGTACACAGCCAAATTCAGAAGAAATGCATCTGCCGTTCGAACAGAAGTGGTCTGCCGCTTCAAGAGCACGTCAGCGTACGCAGGCGACATTAAGCCCGTATCAGAGGGGTTAGGACCGTGAACCCCGGCAGACAGGTACCGAGGTGATGAATCATGGTAAGAGCTCAGTTTGACATCTGGAGAGCAAGTCACCGTGGCGAACTACCAATACCAACACTCGAGCAGTCTTGAGTAGTCAACAGTACGTCTTCAGAGACCCCAACAACGCAGAGTCAGTCATTGAGGCATGCTATGCACATATGTACCGTGGATAGGTCGTGCTCAACACAGCATTTATCAATCCCTGCTGCTCCGCAACCATACAACAAAAAACATTCATAACCTGCTCTTCACGAAGCAAAAAGTCAACAGCAAAGACAAGATAATCACCGAGAAAGAGAACCTCATCAAGTCACAACAAGAGATGACCAAGAAAATCCGAAGTCGCATGAAACGCGGTCTTCGGCCACGAGCTCAATACCGATCATGTCCAGTCCGCGCAGCACTCTTATCCCCGGCCGGATGCCTAACGTATATCTGATCCATACCTTAGCGAGATCTGAGCGGTACTGTGATCACATCCTCCTGACCTTCTCTACCACCATGTGTGTAGTTTGTTCTTCCTCTATACTGCAACACAGTAGTAGAGGAGAACAACCACGCAACATCATAGCTTCCCCAGTGAGCCTGAAGCAAGACTCCATACACCGAGTTGTCCGTCACGACATTCTCACATGAATTTCATGCTCATTCTGTCGCGAGGAACCCGAGCCGTCGCTGCTCCAGCTCCTGCCCCCGCTTCTGTGCCGCAGCGACATCGCTTCCCAGCAGAGTCATGTTATGTTGTCAATTGATGTGGCTACCTGAGCGTTGTTATCAGGAGATGTGGCTACTACTGTGTCGTGTGAACCGAATGTGGTGAGGTAGGATGAGCTGGTGATGAATACCGCTGCGTTACTGGCATATGTGCCTGACCTGAGATAGTGCTCAATTGCGTAAGTACCGTACTGTAGTCATCGCCGGACTGTACCAGTCCCATGTAGGAAAATATGAAGACTAACGTGCTTGCAAGATGTGGCATTTTCAGCAGCTGGAGTCTTCCCTGCTTCAATGTGAGCATTCCAAACTATAATAGTACAGCCGTGACTTCACGCCTCTGCAGGCTCCGCCATTGTTCACGACTAGCCAGTTCGTAGCACACCCATCACTTCTTCATCAAGCTCACCGATCCAGGATATACAGAATCGACCTCCTTCGTGACATATACCGGTAGTTCCTCACCTGGTCCAGTAGCAGCATAAACACTGATCACCTTCGCGATAGCTGCTCTGGACTCCTTCTCGACCGGCGCCCAATGGGCCGTCTGCGGCAATATGACAACTTCACTACCCCTAGCAAGGTAATCACCAATACCATCGAGACAGATAGCCTTGCCCACAGCCCGATCCCTTTCGCCCCAGAGTATCGTGCTCGGTACCTTGAGTGAACCGTTGTATTGCTCTACCCACAATCCAGAGGACGCCGAAGAAGACGAGCGTCGTCGGACTGGCGAGACAGATGCTGATGCGGATGACTCAGCTTCACTTTCGAGGTTGTAAAGATCTGCGATTGTCTCGAGCGACTTCTCCCAGTGATTCGTTGCTAGGCCGTTGCGGTAATATGCTGTTATATGCCAGAATAGGACACCGACGCTCGCTGCTCTTTCGTGTATCGAGTCGCCATAGCTCTCACCATTTGCTGTCTTCGTTGCAAGTTCATTTGGACCAGGACCAAGAGTGGCGGCTAATGATTCTTGCTGTTTCCACTCGTCCTCGTGTTTGCCGTGCGCGAGGTGTAGGCAGCCGCGGAAGAAAGCCTTGTTGCCGCCTGTGCCAAGATATTTGACCATGAAGCTGGGTAGATGAAAGGCGAAGATGTAGCCAAACATAAGCAGCTGGACCAGGAGTGGTTTGATAGCGTGGTACGACTTAGCGAGGCAACCGAA